CAGTTTTCTGCCTTTTACCCCATACCAGCCCACCCCCCAGCCCTTTCCATTTCCCTCCCATTTCCACCTCCCCTTGTTATTATCCATGTGTCCTTTATACTTGTTCCTGCAAACCCTTCCCCTTTTCCCCTGAAATTCCCTCCCTGTTAAGAAATGCAAAATGCATTTCTTAAATAATAAGAATTCAAGTTCAAAATTACTCCTTGATACATAAACTAAAGAATAGATGTTGTGTTAGCAGGCATAGAAACAACATAAATTTCATTGTACATCTCTATCAGAGTGCTTGGGTGACCAGATACATTATCAATGAGCAGCAATATTTTTAAGGGTATCTTTTTTTCAGAGAATCTCTTGCCAGGTTTAAAATAGTCAGTAAACCATACTGCAAACAGAAGTGCTGTTAACCAGGCTTTCTTGTTCCATTTATAGGGCATAGGCAGAATAATTAATGAGCATAATTCTTAAGGGCCATAGGATTTTCAGAATGGTAAATGAGCACTAGCTTCAACTTAAGGTCACCAGTTGCATTAGCCTCAAACAAGAGAGTCAGCCTGTCCTTTGAAGATTTGAGACTAGGCATTGATTTCTCTTTCCTAGCTTTGAAGATCCTACATGACCTTTCATTCTAATATAAAGCTGTTTCTTCCACATAGAAGATCTGTTGTTCAGTGTAGCCACCCTCATTAATCACCTTATCAACCTGCTGTAGCTTCCACATCAACACTTTCTGCTTCACTTTGCACTTTTATGTTATGGAGACAGTTTCTTTCCTTGAACCTCATGAGCCAACCTTTACTAGCTTCCAACTTTGCTTCTGCAGTTTTCTCACCTTTCTCAGCCTTCACAGAATTAAATATAGTTAGATCCTTGCTCTGGATTAGGCACAGCTTGAGAGACTGTTGTGACTAGTTTGATCTTCTATCCAGATCACTAAAACTTTCTCCATATCAGCAATAAGGGTGTTTCACTTTCTTATCATTTTTGAACATTCACAACTTAGCTGTTTGGCACAAGAGACCTAGCTTTTGGCTTTGCTAGGCTTCCAACCTGCCCTCCTCACTAAGCTTAATCATTTCTAGCTTTTAATTGAAAGTGAGAGACATTTGATTCTTCCTTTCACTTGAACATTTAGAGGTATTGTAGGGTTAATAATGGGTCAAACATTCCCATTCAAAGGCAGAGGTTGTCCAACTAAATATAAAAGCAAGAACCAATAATATTCTTTTTATGGGAGATGAACTTTAAATAAATAAAGATGCAAATCAGTTGAAAGATAAATTACAGAAAAAAAGGTATAATACAAACACTAATTATAAGAAAGCTAGTGCGGCAATATTAATAAAAGAAAAAGTAATCTTTAAATAAGAATTATTACCAGACACAATGGACATTTCATAATGAAAGGGTCAATTCACCAAGAAGACCTAACAATTCTAAATGCATATACAACCTAACAAAAGCATTTTAAAACATTAGAAGCCAAAACAACAACAATAACAACAACAAAACAGAGCCAAAGAGAGATACACAGATCAACAATCATAACTGGAGACATTAACACTCCCTTCTGGGAACTGGCAGATGAGGCATAAGGAGCCATTCATTTCTTCCTGACTGGGGAGTTTGCTCCCAGAAGGAAGAAGGAAGGCAGAAGACTCGGTCTAATCTTCTTGTCAACATGATAACTACATCTTCTGTAAATATAAAAAAATTCACTAGAAAGAGAGCCTTTATATAGAAAATATTCTTTAAAGGATGCTTCTTAAGTATTTCTTTATCACATATTTTGTTAGTAAAAATAGAATGTGGATTTATGAGGCAAGGGTCCCTGGAGAAGGTCACATAAGCTACGCAACTCCCTGGGAGTATTAAATGGAGATGTTTTGTGACTCAAGTGCTCCTCTTCTGTGTGGAATATCACCGTGGGCCTGACAGCATGTGTCCAACAGAGGAAGACAATCGTGGAGCTGGAATCAATGTTCCTGACTTCTCCTTGCTTTGCCTGAGCCTTTTGATTTCCAAGTTATCTTTGAGATTAGTAATTAATAGTATTAAGTTCTCTGATATATATCAGTTTGATCTGCAACCTAAACCCTTGTGTTCACTTAACAGAAAAAAATTCACTATAAAATGTTTGAAAAAACCATAAACCAATTTAAACAAATTGACATTTGTAAACTACTAAATCCAGAAACTGAACAGAACACATTATTTTAGGTAGTCACAGGAAGTTCAGCAAGACAAATGATAGAGTGAGCCATAAGACAAGATTAAATAATTTTAAAAGTTCTGAAATCATACAGAAATGTTCTCTCATCAAAATGAATTTAAATCAGAAATCAGTAACACTAAGATAGCTGAGAAACCTTGAATTTTAAAAATGTTAACACACTTCTAAACAACCTATGCATAAAGTGGAAAATAAGGAAAATTTAAAATATTTTAAATTGGATGATAATGAAGGCAGTGTATTGAAATTATTTGTGGAATGTTATTAAAGCAATGTTTACAAAGAAATTTATAGCTTTAAGTGTTTACATTAGAATAGGAGATCTAAAATCAACTACCTCATTTTCTACATAGGTAAAGAAGCTGGCTGATTAAGAAAAGCAAAATAAACCTATCGTAAATCAAAGAGAAAAAATAGTAAAGCTAAGAGTAGAAATAATAAACAGGAAAGCAAATATGCAAGAAAAACTAACAAAGTCAGTATTTGGTGTTTTGAAATAATAAATAAAATCAATAACCTCCTAGCAAAACCATCCAAAAAAGCTGGGAAAGTAAAAATTTTTAATATCAAAATATACCAGAACTAGAGGTGATAGGTGTACAACACTGTGAATGTATGCAATGATACTGTATTGTATATTTTAAATTTTTATGCAAATATCACCTTAATAAATCAGTTTTTTAAATTAAAAATTTCAAAAAAAACCACTTAAAAATCCCCACATCAGAAATAAAAAAGAGGACATCTTTCTATTAATATAATTTTAATTTAAAATAATGCATTTAAAACAGTTTGTCAACATGGCAAGGTCACAGCTGCATGTGGCCGTGGTCTGAGGGAACTAGCGAGTGAGCACAGACCAGAGAAAATGCATTGAAAATGCCAGCAGGATCTCCAGTATTCTGGTCCTAAACATCACACAAATAACTGAAGGCATAACTGTTTAATATCTTAGGGGCATGATGTGAAATAATGTCCAGCTCATGAAGTTATTAGTATAAAGTCAGCTTTGTAGTATAGCTTTATTGGAAAAGCCCTTATGCTTCCTACTAGAACATATGATTTCCTTAAGGAAAAGGATGATGCCTTGCTTATGTTGACTTTTCAGATGAAACTATTATGCTGCACTCTACATATTACTACTCAATAAGTATTTGCTGAACTAAAATAACTGTTTAGCTTTGTAATAGGACTCAGGATATGGCCAGCACCCCCTTAATTCTAATGTCAGTTGAAGCTTTGTCCATGTAACTATGGCCAAGGAATAAATTTAAAGGCTCAGTGGCAAAATAATTTGGACTCTGTAATCCATCAAACCTACATTTTCCCTGTTTGGTCTCCTACTGACCAACTGTATTAACCATGGCCAATTACCTAACCTCTCTGAAATCTTCCTCTTTAAAGCCGAAGTTTCCTCATTTGCAAAATGGGCGCCAAGACAATTTCCAGGGCACAGAATATAAGGATGGTAAAGATAAAAGCAGAAGCTAACATTTATTGTGTTCTTACATTTACCTAGCATTTTGTTATGTGCATAATTAGAATGATCTCATTTAATAATTTAATGACTCAACAAGGTTATTGTTATTTTCAATTTACAAATGGGAAAACTGACAATTAGAAACTTGTCCAAAGTCCTATGTGTAGCTAAAGAGTAGTCCAGGATTTGAAAAAGAGTCTGGTCTACCAACCACAGAACTTGAACATAATAAATGCTTAATAAATAGAAACTCTTAAAATTCTTTCTCAACTACTGGATTAATCTAAATTATGATTAAAAGAAAAGCAAGTCATATTAGAGCCATTTGCTTTTTAAAAAATGTTAAAATTATAGCTACATTCAAAATAGAGGAGTAGTTGGGGAAAGAGAAATCTTCTAGTTAGAACATGAAGGTAACATAATTTTCCAGTGCTAAGAAAGAGATGTATGGTATGTTCCACCAGCCCCCGGGCAAGCATTAGAAAAAGCAGGAAGAGACACAGAGATGCGTTCCACAGCTTCGCTCACAGCTTGAGGTACAGAGAGTTACCTGGCGGAATCTTTATTAAGCCCCAAAAGATTTTGGATGTATTTACCTCCAAGGATGCCTTCATCTCCTAAATATTTAGAATTAACTGAAAAACTATTTTTAAGTATCAAGAAAAAGGGGATACACATTAAATTAAGAAGTAATTCATAACAGTTAAGTTTGAAAAAGTTATCATTTTATTCCCAGGTGCTTTTAAGTTTGAAAACTGTCTCTGACTACATATTCATCAATGTGGTGGTTAATAATTTTAGTTTCTTCCCATCTTGGCTGCTTTAACTTTTTAAAATAATGATTTAGTAATGTCCTTAATTACTCCTATTAGAAATCTGGCTCTCTGGACCACAAACATATTCATGAGGTACTGAAGTTCATTTAACAATGGCAGGAGGAAATAAACACCTTTTAATAAAAATAAACACCTTTTTGAGTTCTGAGGTTGTTTTCAACAATAACCTTATAAAAAACAAAAATGCCAAGCATACAAAAACGAGTATTGAATGATGAGAGACTGAAGCACATGGGAGAAGGGCTAGTCTATACTTGGTGAATGTTTGTTGGTAGAGGGAGAAAGAAGGAAAGAGAGGAAAGAGTGAGAAGAGTGGGATAGGGGATTCCAAACAGACAGCCACACACAGAAATCCTGAGATGGAAAGGGGAAGCTACACAGTTTGGTCGGAATGCAGGTCTTTGTGCAAGGGAGGCAATACGTGCCAAGAGAGGTGTGGCCACGCACTTACTTCAACCCGTTGTAGAACAACTTCTTGTAGTCAACATTTATTATACTGATGTTTTCTCTTGTAAGTACTTCAATGGGGGTTAGCCGGCCTACTTGCTGAAAACCAGGAGCTTCCAACTTGACATAATTCCTTTCACTATTTGGCAGCCAATAAATCTGTGAGAAAACAGGAAACCGTTCAGTTTGTACCTGTCTAGGTACAAACAGTCCCATGTAGGACAGATAGAGCCCCATTCCAGCACTGGTAACAGTATAGGGAGCAGAGAGGGATTCCAGCCCTTGGCCTAATATTGTCTAATAAACTCTTACAATGGGGCTTTCACCAGTCGTTCTGCAGCTGAGTTTTCTCAGGTAACATCATGGGGGTCAGGGGCCCATTGTGTGCAGATAGACTCACACTGACAAGGTGGATAAGGGGGTAGCAGGTGTGGATGAAAGGTGAGAATCATAGGCATCTCCTCTGGCTAATGCTGCTAAACATCATCTTTGAGAGGGCTCATTTCCTGCCAACAGGGAATGCTATTATGACTCATCTGTGCAAATAGTTCAATTGTTAAAAAGACCCATTTTTTCACTCATAGCACTCTTCCATATTTTGAAAATTTAAGAGATTTGAAATGACTGACTACCGCAATGCAGAGAGTTGCTTCTGAAAAATGTGATGAACAAATCTCTGCTCAAATGAGAACCAGTATATCCATCATTAATTCAAGCCAAGTCTTCAAAGCCTTAGTGTTCCCCAGGCCCTTTCTAACAGTTCTGCCTCAGTGTATGGTGGGGGTCACATCATATAGTCATTGTACACATTCTTTTTTACCAGAGTGGTGATATTTCATTTGCTTTGGGTTTCCCGGCACTGAGATAAATATCAGTGGGTCATTTTTGGTTGCCACATGTAGCTGTATAAGAAATAGTCTCCAGCCCTGCCCAGGTCATCCATCTATGCCAAGGTTGCTGGTTCAACACCCAGTCAGGGCTCATACAAGAAGCAAGCAATGAATGCATAAATAAGTGGACAACAAATCAACATTTCCCTCTCTTTCTTCCTCTCTCTAAAATAATTTTTTAAAAAAGAAACAATCTCCATTTTTATAGGGAACAAAATTATTTAAGGATGACAGGAAAGATCTACAGGTTGGTCAGGTTCAACCGCTATGCTCCAGGGACATGCTACCCACCTCCCAACCTCTACCGCCAATACTGAGATAGACGTACCAGATGTTGCTCAATTTTAGAGTCAAGGATCACACGTACTACTTGTTGGATAAACGTATTTCTGAAAGGATGATTTATTGGAGGGCTATTTAGATCAAATATCACAAATTTTCTCTCCTTCTGTGCAAGTTCCAATAAATCAGCTAGTTTAGGAATCTTTTGATTTCTTGCTTTTTCTCTATCAGCCTCTGATAAGGGTTCCATATTATGAAATGGTTTGAGCTAAAAAAAGAATAAGTACAAAAGAGAATGTGTTGGCTTCCATCAGAAGCATTTTACAATACTCCTGCTATATAGCATGACACCTAGTCCTACCTATGTGTTGCTCCATTACCATTCAGCCCACCAGGCCATCTGAAATACTGGTCCTGAGCTCAGAGTTACCAAGGAGAGAAATTTAATGCAATCTCCATAGGTAATTATGGTCTATGTCAAAGAATCTGTTACCAGTATATTTGCACTGAAAGTCCTTCATGTTCCTGTCTTAACCTTCCTTTTTAGGCTTCTTTCTCTAACTGAAGGTAATCCAACTCCTTTTCATTTTCATTGGCTTCCAATAATTGCTCTCACTGTTCTAAAAATAGGCTATGGCTTCAGACTGAATTAGAGGCAATCCCAGCTCCACCACTCATTTGCCTTCTGGGCCATATCTGCCTCTTAAAATTCTACCCTTCACCTGCAAAGTCCAGTTCAAATGCTACCTTGTTCATGAAGCCTTCCTTAAATATTCCTGAACTAAAGAGACTTGGATGGTGTAAAACTCAGTGGCCCATTTTTTTGCCTCTGTAATCGTATGTCTCCTTCTGTCTTCTACAGTTATTTGTGGATGTTTCAGATCAGATGAAAATCCTGGTTTCATGTGCTTCTTGCTATGTAACCTTGTAAAACCACTTACATTCTCCACATCTCCATTGCCAAAGTAGGGAAGTGGAGAGAAAAGATAATCTATGAATTTCTCAAGTTTATTTTGAAGATTAAATATAATGAAATATTTACAGACTCTAGGAGCATGTCTGCTACACAGAACAGTACACAATTCACTTGGTTCCCGCACTTTCTACTACTTCAACTGCAGTGTAACTCCCTATACGGCAGGAACTGTAATCTGTCTTTGCAATGTAGAGCAATTCATCTCACACCTCAGCCCATACATATGGCTGCTTTTATCATCATTTACTGATTGTAGATTATTTTGGGTGAGGTCAATGAAACAAGCAGCAGCCATCTCACATTTTCTTAACTCAAATGATCTTCTCTCTGTACAACTTTATCTACATTCTTATTCTCACGCTTTCTATTTGTATTCCTTCCCTTGACCAACTTAGCAAGCTGCCCTTTTTCAGCTTTCTCTCAGTAACAAAGACATTGCACAATATCCCCATGTTAGACTGGAAGACAGATCATAGAAGCTGAATTAAACCACAGTTTAGTCCTGGCTGCTATGGCTCAGTGGATTGAGCACCGGCCTGTGAACCACAGGGTTCACATTCCTTTGGTTTTGTTCCCGGTCAGGGCACATGCTTGGGTTGTGGGCCAGGTCAGGTGTCCTGTAGCGGGCATGTGAGAAGAAACCACAAATTGATGTTTCTCTCCCTCTCTTTCTCCCTTCCTACCCCTCTGTATAAATAAATAAATCAGATCTGTTCTCTATGCATAGAGAAATAAGTAGGAGGGAACTGGATGATTCAAGGTATCAAAGTATTTAAGAAAGAGGATGATTGTCTAAATCTGCCCAATAATCCACATAAAGGAAACCACTTAACAGACCATCTGCGAAGTATCCATAAATACAGAGGAACAACAGTACAGTTTCTCAGGTGCCTCCACTTTACTATTAATCCCCACACCATAGAAACTCAGAGCACTCAGAGTAGCACTGAAGTAGTGGGGCTTTCTAACAGTCCCAAGCTCTTGCCCTCATCCCAAGCTATAATTGTGATTTTGAGGCCATTATCAGACATACTTCTTCTCTATGGCGCTTTCCCATAAATTTCATCATTAGGAATCTGCTCTGTAAAAATTACCTCCAGAAAAAATCTGTCTGTATGCAAATTATTTTTAACAATCACAGAAAATTTTACTGCACATTATCAAACTATAGTGATGCATATTAGTATATGGATTCAAAAAATAACCAAATAATTGGCCATGGTACCAAAACCCCTGAGGGGAAAAGAAGCAGAATAATTATATATAATCAAACCCGAAAGAATTCAGATTGACTCTGTTGACACTGTTGCCTAACATCCTCTCAATGCTGAAGTTGCGGAAGTTCTAAGCCAACTGTCAGAGACTTTAATGTAAGAAGGATTAATTGTTCCTTTCATTATCCAAGCAATTAGTCTACTTATCTGCTTAAGAGCAAAACAAAAAAACTGTCATGGTGGAGGATACAGATTCATCCAATATCTTTGAGCTATTAACCAAAGAGTTATACTTCATTTTCTAGTACTGCCTACTCAATTATACTCCCATTGGTCTAATTTTTACTTTCTTTTATGCCCTAGCTGATGAAATAGCCAATATTTATTATCTCAACTAGAAAAAAATCAACAATTTACCTGAACTTATGCTTCAGGCATTTACTAAAGGCCCATCCTACTCTTCTCAAGCCAACCAAGATCTTAAGGATATGCAACAGCCCATCTTAAAATTCTAAGACTGATTCTACAACTCTAATCAAAACTTCTAAGGAAAAAATTTAATTCTACACAATAACAGTTCATTATCCAGGGTTCAGCAAACTTATTCTGTGAAGGATCATATACTAAATACTTTTAACTTTGTGAGACAAACAGTCTGTCTCTCAACTATTAAGCTCTGCTATTAGACTATGAAAATAGCCACAGACAATTCATAAGTGAGTAAGAATGGCTATGTTCCAATCAACTTTGTTTATTGACAATGAGATTTCAGTTTTATATATTTTTAACACATCATGAAATATCATTCTTTTGTTTTTCCCCCCACAATTAAAAGTGTGGGGGGAAAAAAATTCTTAGCTCACAGGCTGTACAAAAACACCCAGCGGGCTGGATCTGGACACTGGCCGTGGTTTGTCAACCTTTGATTTAGGCCATGCTATACTGGCTAAGGGGGGGATATAGTGTCATGAGAGAGTACAGAGTATCCAGAGTTATCCAAAACCAACCACTAATGACAATTAAGATGATTTCTGGGATGAACTGGATATAAAGTATAGGTAGCAAGCTTTTTTGAAAGAGGCCTCTGTGATTTGACTTAAACAAGTTAGAATCATTCTCATGAATCACAGAAACCAAAGACCTTCAGTGATCTCAAATATTTCTTCAACAATCATCTTTGCTGATTTTCCAGATCATCACAAACCTTTCTTTTTGAAAGTACACAAAAGGGGAGACCATGGTCTAAGGGCACTAACTCAACAGCTTGGCACACATCCAAGACTCATTGTCATCACTGCCTATGCCCCGTTCCAGCAGCAAGGCTTCTTTTCTTTCCTCAGAAAAAGATGCAGTCCTGGCTGAACTAGTCTACGTGCCTCCAGATCCTGTACTAGCTTCACCTTTCTACTGTGTGGTACTACATTTATACAATCCCTGTCGTTAAGTGAAAATACCCAATATTTTTATGTTAGTTGATTAACTGCCACACAGTTATAGTCTCTTTCTCATGTGACCACTTGCCAGGGTAACACTCTTAATACAGCAACGGTATTATCCTTACCAGTGAGAAAGACTCTCAGCATTTCTGTAATTTGATAATGGTCCAGGCCAGGAACGGTTATTTTGGGTGCTCCTATATCAAATCTTGATTTAATATTGTTTATTGATAGCTTGTATTTTTTAATGAAAAATTACATTATTGACTGTGCAATAATTTTTCTAGATTTTCTTATAGAAATTCAAATCTATTCCCAGAAATCAAATTGGCTCAAGCAGCCAAAACACAGCCCTCCTTACAGCATGTGAGATTGCTAATAATAAAAGGGTGACTCTTTGGCCATGACTGCTTGTCTGCTTCTGAAGCAGTTCACTGTAGAATGCGATGGAGGGAAAACAGGATTTTAGCCTTCTCAGTTATCTATATTAAAAGTAAGTAAATAAATAAATTACCCAGGCCCCGAAGCTTCCCAAATATATTGTGGTCCTAAAGGTGGAGGTGCACAGTGAGAGAGACAGGAGAGGAAATGCTTCGGCACATCATCACACTGAACAGAACACTCTGATAAAGTCCTTAGGTAAGAAAGGGCCTTTCAGAGAGAAGAAAGACCATTCCATGGAGTTCAAGAATTTCATCGTTAATGCACAAAATGTGGCCCCAATTCTGGAAAACAAAACAAAACACTGGAACTAAGCAGGCTGTCAGGTTCCTGATGGCCACCTGGTAGTACCAATTAACCTCAAACAGATACTTCCCCAAATCCTCCAGGACACAACTCATCACAGTGGCGGGGGGATTGACTGCAGTATTAAACAAATGCTGATGGGCAACCTTCCTAAGATATCAACATATGTGACCAGTTTTCTTCATCAGCTCTAACTAACATAATCCTGAGAAAACTACAAAAGTGAGACATGGATTGGAACCTTGCCCAAAGGGACCCACTCAAAACAGATTTTGTACAGTTTCTTCCCTCTGTGGGTAATGAATTTGTACTAGTACTTGTGTGGTTTTTTTAATGGATGGTCTAAAGTAACATCAACTTAAAATGGCTTTATAAACTACTATATATTTGTTTTCTCTACCTAAGCCATTCTACTTTACTATAATGTAGTAGGGGAAAATATTTTACTTGGGTATTTTAAATTATGCAAAACTTTGCTTCTTACTAAAACACCTCCTGTCCTCATACATACCATACCCCTGAAATTGGAAAGAATACACAAAATGTGAAGTGAAATCAGCCAAACTACCAGATACCGTTGAAATTCCATGCCCTCAAGCACTTTTCTCTTAGACTTTGTTCTTTCTCACAAGGAGGTCCTGGGTTATCTCTCTATCCACTACTCATGTGCAGCCCCATGTTTTGGGAATATCTCCACCAAAAATTCCTATCAGTCCTTTATTAAAAACCTCTTTTAGTTAAATATCATAAAGGATTAACCAAGATATCTCAGTCCTGTCATTAGAGGAACACGCTGGAAAATAGCTCACAGAAAGACTGCCCTTGAACATCACTGGGAATGACCATACCAGATACTCTGCACTCCAGTAGAGCAGTTAAAGTAGAAGGAATTTATCCTTGGATGCACGCTTCCCAACTAAAACGACATCACCCATCCACAAGAATAGGAAAGGTTCAGCCATTAGAGATCAGAAACCTACGTTCTCCAGGGAACCACTGCAAGTCGAGAGCTAACCCAAGGTCCTTGTAACTAGCAAACAACTACTTGAAGTAGAATAGTAGTCAGGAAAAAGCACTAGGAAAAGATTCTCCTGATAAATGCCAAACTCACCTTTAATGCTTTTGTTCTTTATCCTCTGGTCATACTTTTGCTTTCATTGAACTCAAGTTATACACTGCTGACTTAGCCTATCATGTTCCTCTTACTTAAAACAGTCATTTGTCCAACTCTGCAATTTTCTAGACAAGCATCACTGTAACTAAAATTCAGCTCCACCAAACTATTACGACTGTAAACATCTTGAAAATATACTGGATGAATGATTCCACTTCTGAGTATATACCCAAAGAAAGCAAAACAATAATTCTGGAGAATATGTGCACCCCTGTGTTCACTGTAGCATTATATACAATAGCCAAGCTATGGAAGCAACCCAAATTCCCGTCAATACACAAGCAGATAAAAAAGTTGCAGTACATATATACAACAGAATATCACTTGGCCATAGAAAGGAATGGTTTCTCACCATTTGTGACAGCATGGATGGACCTAGAGGGTATTATGCCAAGTGTAACAAGTCAGTCAGAGAAAGTCAATACTATATGATTTCACTTATATGTGGAATATAAAGAACAAAATAAACAAACCTGAAACAGATTCACAGATACAGAGAACAAACTGATGGTAGTAAAGGGGGCAGCAGTTTGGGGGACTGGGTGAAAGAGGTAAGAAGTAGGAAGTACAGATTGGTAGTTCAAGAATAGAGATGGTCATGTAAAGTACCGCATAGGGAGTAGAGTCAATAATAATGTAATGACTATGTATGTTGCCAGGTGGGTAATGGAAATATCAATCATATACTTCATAAAGTATATGACTATCTAACCACTATGTGTACACTGAAACTAATACAAAACAACATAAAATGTAAAGTTTAATTGAAAATTAAAATTAAAACATTAAATTAAATAAAAATAATACATGCTATGTTGAACATACATTCCTTGCCAACTCCTAAAATTTGGTAAAGAAAATTCTAGTCAACAGCCTTATAACATGTGAAACTGCTATCAGCTGATTAATGGATGGACTGATGGATAGACAGACATGCAGACAGTCTGTGGAAGATTTCCACACTTAAAGACTGTGACTCAACTTGATGATAGAAATCAGTCTAATTCCCAATCATATTTCTCTTCATAGGTTACATTTGCTAATGTGGTACTATGGTATACATTTTTTTAAGGCTCAAACATTGAAAGCAGTTAGTTATTCCTATGAAGAAGACAAGAGTCAAATGTTACATATTGAAATAATGGAAGATGATACAGATGTGTTGTACTGACTGCATTAGTTCCCAAGGGCTGCTATCACAAATTACTGCAAACTTGGTGAGTTATAAAACACAGACTAGCAACCTGAAATTGACTCTAGTTTAGTGTTTATCACAATGTATGGCAATTGCCTGTTTCTTACACTAGGTAGTGAACTCCATTAAGTCTAAATGTATGTTTATTCATCATTGTATTCCTTGTATCTAGTACCCAGTGGGTACTCAATAAATATTTTTTGAATGGTAAGAAGAGAGAATGAAGAGAAAATGTTTCCTAGTCTTCCTTATGTATGCTTTTGAGCTATTCAAAATGGCCAGGAAAATGTAATGTAAACAATAGGCACACTATAAAAGTTCACAAAATTCTTGGATAAAAGGGAATTAAGTGGCAATCATAAGATTACAAGTTTGTCTTCAGAATTTCCAGTGAGTGCAGAAAGCAGTAAAGAGATTGACTGCATTACTGGAAAAGCCTTTCTGACAATGCTATAATCCTGTCGCCAAACTGGAATGAAATTGTGTGTATTCTTTTTAAACCCTCTCCCAAGGACATATTTATTGATTTTACAGAGAGGGGAAGGGAGAGAGAGAAACATCAATCAGTTGCTTCTCACATGTACCCCCATTAGGGACAAAACCTACAATGTAGGCATGTGCTTTGACCAGGCATTGAACCTGTGACCTTTTGGTTTACAGTACGATACCCCAACCAGTTGAGCCAAAGTGGTCAGGGTGAATTGTGTGTATTCTTGACTATTTTAATCTAAAGTCTTTACCTCCAGGAGCAGCACATGGCCTTGTTCTAGAGAGGGAATCAATGCAGGATTGTTGAGCTGGAGAATATGTCTTACCCGTGATTGTACAAACCAGCGGCCAGCATTCAGAGTTGACAGAAAATCCCAGTAGAAGAGGTTAGTTGTTGTGTTGGAGGCATTTGGCATGATCTCCCCGATATTGGTTGTTCTTCTCAGGTCATAGTCATGCATGAGAAAAGGCACCCCATCATAACTGTAGGCCAAGGGGGCAAAGGGGGAATTGGTGAATAAGTTGAAGTCACCCACCTTGGCAGACAGGGTCCTCAGAAAGCCCATCAAGGTCACGAGTTTTACTAGGGTTCCATACTACTTCCTAAATCTCAGCAAAGGCCTAGGTACTAGTCATTTATACTTTGATGTCCATATTTTTCTGCCCTAGTGATAAATTTTCTGTGACATATAATAACCATATCATTGATGGTGAAAGATGAGCTTCCCTATCCAGAGGCTTTCTGGCACCAAAAAAGCCCCCAAAACAAACAAACAAAAAAACCCACAACGTAAAAAACAGTAGATACAGTATTGACCCGAGTGTTAGGTGAGTGGGGTGGTTATGGGGCAAGGCCCTGGGGTTCCAGAACAATACTAAGCAGGCATCCGTACAATCCCCGCGAGTTTTTCTGACCCGTTTACCAGCCAGGCACCTGCCCTGAGTGTTTCTCATACTAGATCATTCACATTCAATGGTATCATTAGAAAAGTTCCTGGTTCTCTTATCTGCTATTTGCCTTGAAGAATCTCTGCTCTTGTGAAAATCTCTCTCTTCCTTTCCCATTAAAATACACAAGAGAAATCTTTAACAGCCATGAAGGAGTAATAGGGATAAGGTTTAGCCTCCTACCCATAAACAACCAGAAAACTAGACAAAATAGGGGAAATGACATTTCAGCCAAAGGACAACAAAGAGCACACAGCATGATGATCTCTAGGAAAGATGAACAAATGAAAGAAGCTCTACCATTACCCGGGCTTCCTTTCAGCAGATGAACACAGGACTGTGGGACAGACAGGGCGAGCCTAATGTGCGCCCGGCTACCACGCTGAAATGGGGAGAAAGAGGTCAGCTTAAGGAGAGATCAAGATGGCTGGAACTTGTGTGCTGGGGTCCCAAAGATGATGCAGGTAAGTAAATAAATAGGTAAGTAAATTTATAAATAAATGAGTAAATAAAATATTTCTAGGGAAATACGTACAGATGTCTTTATGTATGCTTAAATATCAATCTCTACAAATGCAGAGTAAAACTCCAGGAATCTTGGAATTTCATCATACTACAAATATTCACCAGACATGTAAAAAGAAGCAGGAATGTGTAACCATAAGCAAGAGAAATTACTCAGTAAGACTAACTTGAAAATGAAAGAGGTGACACAAGCAGTAAAATACGGGCACTGAGTTGTGTACAACAAAAATGCACACAATTTATATAACAGGTATAAAGAAAAGCATGAACATAAGGATGACAAATGTAAGATGGTAAAAAATGGAAATTCTAGAGCTGAGAAAATACAGAAACCAGTATGAAACTTTCGCTGGATAAAATTAAAAGTTTAGATATTAGAGATCATGTAAAGATCAATGAATTTCAAAATGTAGCAATAGAATCTAAATGACCTGAGAGAAAATATCAGCAGACATAAATTTTGTGCGATTAGATCTTATAAAAATCTTTAAAATTTGTTGAAAATTATGTATGAGGAGATTCAAGAATCTTAATACCAAGAAGGATAAATATAAAGATACACATACACATCCCAACATTAAGGAATATTATAATGAAATTGGTGAAAAACTGATGAGGAAAATTGTGAAATTAGCCAGAGGAGGGAAAATGGCATATTTTGACAGAAATGAAGATAACCACAGAACAGACTTATCAAAAAAATATGAAAGATGTAAAACAATGAAACAACATAGTTTGTATTCTGAAGGAAATCACATGCCAACTTAAGATTCTTCGGACTGCAGGGAAGAAGAGAAAACGGCAGGAGAATGGTAGAGTGAGGAGCACCTGCCTCCCCACTTTGATGACAACTGCACTGGCTGATTTTGACATAATATTTTGGAACTACTGAAGGCCTGCAACTTTCAGGGGAAATCATGGAAGTAAAGTAGGGTTAATTTCAGTGGATTTCAGCACTTTGCCCAGCAGCCACTACCCATCTCTGTACCCCAGCCACAAGGGCAGCAACTGTGTACAGATTCCTGTGACAGCTTGTACAATAAGCAGCTAGTGAGAACTGTGTGGCAAGAAGTTCCTGGACCCCACATACAAGGGATCTGTGCTCTGGCTGCAGATGGCTGCCTCTCGTCACAGGAAGGCAGGCAGAGGCAGGCAATCACTGTTGTTGATCCTTCCCTCACTTTTGCAAAGCTCTTACCTTCTGGCTAATGTGATTTCCAGGCTATTTAATGGTCCAGCACCCTTTTTACACCTCATCATTTTTTTTCTTTTCCCCCTTGGAAGCCAGACATTAAGGACCAACACATTAAAAACAGCTGCACATACAGGGAAAATTAGAAAGTGACTGTGCATGCCAAAAGAAAGGATCAGAAGAACCTAATAAGACCTTAGGTTTACACCTCAACGTGGCCCATGTCACAGAGACATTCTACAATGATTGAAAAACAAACACAAAAAACAGTCACCTCCAGAAAAGAGGAATCTGATTTCCAGTGTTACCACATTGTACGATTCAACTGTCCAATTTCCTACCAAAAAAAAAAAAAAACCCACACACAAAAAAACAAGGAATATAAACAAATAGGAAAGTATGGCTCATTCTGAGTTAAAAAAATAAATCCACAAAAACTGGCCCTGAGAAAAAGAGCTCATGGCAGATAGATTAGACAAAGAGTTTAAAACAACTGTCTTAAAAACACTCAAAGAAGTAAAGATGTGGATAATGTCCAGAAAACAGTACATGAAAAAACTGAAATCTAATAAAGAGATTAGAAAATGAAAATAAAAATAAAAGAAGAAACAAAAAGTACAATAACTGAAATGAAACACTGACGAGAGAAATTTAAAGGCAGATCCAGCAGGCAGAAGAATCAGAATTGGTGAACTTGCAGATGGAACAATAAGCATTATTAAGTCTGAGGAAAGACTGTAGGAGGTGAACAGAGTCTGAGGCATACTGTGACACCAATAAAAGCACAGGCCAATATCCCTTATGAATGTTGATGCAAAAATTCTCAACAAAATATTAACAAATAGAATTCAGCATTGTATTAAAAGGATTATATAACATGATCAAGTGGAATTTACTTCCAAAGTGAAAAGATGGCTCAACATATCCAAATCCATCAATTTAATACACTACATTAACACCGTGAAAGGGAAAGAAAACATGCTTATCTCAAATGATGCAGAAAAGCATTTGACAAAATTCAACACCTTTTTGTGATTAAAAAAAACCTCACCAACTCATGAAAGTAAACTACCCCACCATAATAAAAGACATATATAAAAAACCCCACAGTGAACATCATATTCAATGATGAATGGTTGAAAGCTTTTCATCCAAAATTAGGAACAAAGCAAGGATGTCTGCTTTTGCCACTTCCGTTCCTAGTAGTATGGGAAGTTCTAGTCAGAGCAATTAGGCAACACAGGGAAATAAGAGGCATTCAAACTGTGGACATAGAGAGTTATTATGCTAAGTGAAATAAGCCAGTCGGCTAGAGGCAAATGGCATATAATTTCACTTCTATGTTGAATCTAATGAACAAAATAAACAAAATAGAAACAGACTCATAGATACAGAGATCAGACTGACAGGCTGTCAGGAGGGTGGGGGAGTTTGGGGACTGGGTGCAAAAGGTGAAGGGATTAAGCAGCACAAACTGGTACTTGCAGAATAGCCACAGACATGTGGATTGCAACATGGAGAATATAGTAAAAAATGTTGAGGTAACGGTTATGGGGTGAGGTGGGTGCTTGGGACAGCACAGGGAGTAGAGTGCTTGGTTTTCTGGCCACTTTGCTGAACATCTGAAACTGGTGTGGAATAGTACTGAATGTAAACTGTGCTTGAAAAGTAAAAACTGGGTATTCACATGAAAAGAATGAAGTTGGGTCTTTACCTAATACCACATACAATAATTAACACAAAGTGAATCTGAGACCCTCGTGTAAGAACTAAAACAATAAAATTCTTAGATGAAAACATAGGGGAAAATCTTCACAACACTGGATTTGAAGAGAATTTTTTGGATATGACAACAAAAGCACAGATAGTGAAAGACAAATTTGGCTTCATGAATATTTCATGTGTAGGAAAAGTCATTATCAACAGAGTAAAAAGGCAAAACTACAGAATGGGAAAAAATATTTGAAAGCCATATATCTGATATGGGATTGATATCCAGGATACATAGAGACCTCCTAAATCTCAACAGAAAAAAAATAGGCTAAGTTTAAATAGACATTTTTTAAAAAATTGTGAATGGCTAAGACTACATGAAAAGATCCTAAACATCACTGATCACTACAGAAATATAAATTAAAACTATAATGAGATGCCACTTCAACCCAGTCGGAAGGCTACTATAGAAAAACAGCCTTGACCAATGTGGCTCAGTTGGTTGGCAAACCAAACCAAGTAAACCAAAAGGTCACAGGCTCAATTCCTGGTCAGGGCACATGCCCGGGATGGAGGTTACATCCTTGTCTGGGGTGCATATGAGAGGAAACCAATGGATGTTACTCTCTCACATTAATATTTCTCTCCTCTACTTCTCTCCCTCCCTTCTACTCTCTCTAAAATCAATAAGCATATTCTTGGGTGAAGCTATAAAATTAAGCAACAAAAAACAAGCATTGGCAAGAATGTGGAGGAACTGAACCCTTGTGCACTGTTGGTGGGAACATAAGATCGTACAGCCATTGTGGGATACAAAATTATTATGTTATATACTGTATGTATTATAATTTATATCAATAAATTAGACTTATGGTCAAGATGGCAGCATAAGTAAACATGGCTAACTTCCTTGCACAACCACATCAAAATTACATCTAACATATAGAACAACCATCACTCAGAACCACCAGAAATCGAGTGAATGGAAGTCTGACAATTATGGAATTAAAGAAACTACATCCAGCCAGACTGGTAGGAGGAGTGCAGATTTGGAATGAGCTGGTCCCACATTCACGTGCTGTAGGTAAAAACTTGGGAGGAATAT